CCGCGGACCTAGTGCGCAGCAGCAGCCTCCGCGGGGAGTCAGCAATCAGCATTCCAACCCGAGCTCGCAAGCGTTCGCTTCAAAGGCGCAGCCCAAGCAGCAGGCTCCTGCGCCAGACGCCTTCCCGCCACCCGGCCCCACGAACCCTAACGGCGAGTTAGACGCCTTGAACGACGTTATCTTCCCGGCTCTCGAAGAAGCCCTCAAACGACGGCAGATCCGGCTGCAGCAGATCTACCGCAACGAGAAGGTCATTACCCCGCAACGGCAGCGGGCCGAGGCGGCGCACGACCGCATCCGCAAGCACGTGTACAAGCTAGCGAACGTGTGTAAGGAGATTGACCGGCTCGACAAGAGCGAGCCTGTGGGTATGGGCAAAGAAGTCGGTACCTTCCTCGAAGGCCTTCTCGAAGAGATCCTCGTTCGAGTCGAGCCACTGGATGAAGATGAAACGTAATGATTGGATTAAACGCATAGCTTGGCATGGCACGGCACGGCACGGCACGAAACTATAGGAGTACATTTTATTTGGAGAAAAAGATATACCCTGCGGAGGGATAACGTCTTGTTGTGTAAGTATATATCTAATAAGGGGGTGTTGGTAGTGATGGTATGTATTAGGCACGGGTCCTTTTCCGTTTTGTACTACTCCCTGTCTGTCCCGGAGCTACACTAGCTAGGCTTGCTTGTCTTAGGTTCTAGAATCCCCCGTCCCGTCTGCCCCGGATGCGATGCGAGGTTTTGTATTTATGTTACGAAGGCGTTTAATCGTATTGCCGAAAAGCAGAATAGAAAGGAAAAAGGAAATCATGTTACTCTTTCCCATGTGCCTCCGACTAAGTTCTCTTTGTCCCCCAAGTTTTCTTCTGCGCATTGCGAACCTTCTTCCTTCTCTCCTTTCATGCCTTCAGTGTTGGTAGAATTCGTACCTTGCTTCTCGCTATTGCCGCTAGTGTCGCTACTAGATCTTTCAATACGGCTGGCGATCCTGCTTCTCGTCCGGTCGCGTAACAGTAGCCTGACATGGTCCTCACGCTCGGGCTGCGCCCAATATAGGTAATCCTGACCGAATAACCGGCGGTGATCACAACGATGCTCTTCGAAGACGTCTCGGACCCGCGAGACGTAGTAAGTGTATAGACGATCGGCCTCGGCGGCCTTCTCAACATCCGACTTGCGCGGCTGTGTCGCATGTACGTATGCTAACTCCCGTAGGTTCCACACGTATGTTTCTCGCAGGGCTCGCCTGGTTTCGTTGTATCGCTGGATCGAATCCATGAGCTGTGCGGGTGGGAAAAGAGGCATTAGCAAAGTTATTTAGGGGGGGGGGCTGTGGGGAATGGCTTCGAGAAAATATAGGAGAGAATAACAGAGGGAGGGGGGGGGAGCATACGAAGGCTCTGTAGTGGCATTGTGAGGCCGGGCACTCGGCGTGGTGCACGAGGTGCTCGTGTAAGCCGGGCGGGTAGTATAATGACTGCCCGTAGTAAGCGCTTGCACGTCGAAGGGACATGCTCGTGAACGGGGGACGGCGCTGCCACGGCGGGTTCTCGAGGCCGTTGTATCCTCTATATATCTGCTGCCTGTATGCCGTCGAGCTGCCGACGATGGCCGCTGTTGTTGTCAGAGCCGTGATGGCTGCCGCCGCGTATTCGGCCATTCTTGCTGTATCTTGGCTTGGATATACGTACGGGTGGCTAGCTAGTGACAGGGGTTTAGTGGCAACGAGGTTGGGCGAGTGGCATAACGGGTGTAATTCAGACTGCTGAACTTATGGGTTTCTTTTCAATCTCTCTTCCCCCGCACGGCCAATCCGTATGTATTGTAACCTTTGCTATAATAAATACTTCACGGCCCAGCTGTGTTTATTTCTTCTAGGGGTTACCGAGGGGGGTTGTTGGTATATGTCCACAACTCTCAGGTTAGGGATGTCCTGCTTAGAAAGGAAGATGGGAAAATGAGAAAAGGTATATAATGTAAACCTATTGTCTGGAGGAGATTCTGTCTGAAACGAGCGGCTCGCAGCAGGATTGGTTCTTGCCCATGCTGACGTGGTGCGTTTGAGAGCCATTTAGGTAGGGTAGAATGATATAGGTTACTAAACTAAGATATGAGGTGGACGTGGAGACCCAGGAGAGTACCTAAAGTAATACCTACATGTACTACCTCGGTAAGCTTTCAGTGAGAAGTAAAGTTTCCTTTCATATAGCTACATCTCACTCTTATCGTGTGATCTCCCCTTTTGTGATAAGGAAGTGGTTTGGGGTGGAGTTTATAAATAAGGAGGAAGGGAAACTTGGACCGGTAGGCTGATGTAATATAGAAAGGTAGTGTCTTCCAGGAAATATTATAATACACCAGGCAGGCGGAGAGGAGTTGCAGTGCTCCGCCTCGTTGAAGATTGAATTATATGAGTCGGTTTTACTAAACTTTGTATGCTCCTTAAAATAACACATTGTACATTCCGGTGGTCATCAGAATATGGCTATTTCCCCTTGGAGATGTGAAGCGTTATGGAGCTTGTTTTTATATTAGGTAGTCATACAATTCCCTTATTGTTGTTCCTCGTCTAACTTTCTTGATATCATGGCGGTTGCTATTAAGGAGTTTCTAGTATATAAACCTAGGAACATATTCTCATTGTCGTAGTTCCTTGGTGTAAGCTAATGTAATATGTCCCAAATAGACCCATGACTACCTGGTTAGAAAGAGAGATGTAGTTTTGTTCTCTTCATAAAAACTCCTCTTAATGGAATAATCGTGCCTTGCTTTGGAACGTTACATTTACTTAGTTAAATACCTAGGTACATAGGTACAGTGCGGGATTGAGGTACGTACCTAAAGTTATGCATTCTGAGATCAGATCAGATAAGATACGACGCCACAAATACCCGCATTTACGTGCATAATGTGGCTAGAATGCCACCAACCCAGAAAAAAAGCCTGAGGTAGCACCTGGCATTAAACGTGGTGAAGTACTAAAGTACTGTACCTTCGGGATTAAAGGCTGTTTTTAAACGAACCGTGCTTTTCTCTTGCCCCCGTTCACCCGATCGGAATGCCACGGCTTGCCCATTCTCCCTCCCACCAACCAGCACCAAGCCCAGCCCAGCCCAGCCCAGCCTACCAAGGACCTATCCACCAAGCTTTTTACCACCTGCGCCATTTGCAAGCCTTTGCAAGCATTTGCATCACTGATTGATTCCCTTTCTTCGAGCACTTCCGACGCATCACTCCTTTTTTATAAGGCCACATACCACATTTCTAACCTACGATGTTGTCGCGAAACTCTGCCAGAGCTGCCCAGGTACATATATCTCCAACTTGCCGAGCCCAATGGCTCGAGCTTCCCTCCATCTTTCACATGCTCTTTTTTCGGTAAGACGATAACTCGGCTAACGCTCTTCTCCCGCAGCGCCTGGCGCGAACGGCCACCCGTCAACAATCGCATATTCAAAATGCTTCGCGATCTTTTGCGACGGTCCAATCCGACATTTTCAAGCCTACGAAGTATGGCGGAAAATACACTATTACCCTCATTCCCGGCGACGGTATTGGTGCCGAGGTAGCTGAGAGTGTCAAGACTATTTTCAAGGCCGACAGCGTGCCCATTGATTGGGAGCAAGTCGATGTCTCTGGTGTGGAAAGTGGTTCGCCTGGTAGCCTCGAGGAAATGTTCCGAGAATCTGTCGCCTCCCTCAAGAGGAACAAGCTGGCATTGAAGGGTATCCTCCACACGCCTATCAGCAGATCAGGACACCAGAGTTTCAACGTCGCTCTGCGACAAGAACTCGATATTTACGCCTCTATATCGCTCATCAAGAACATCCCTGGCTACAACACCCGTCACAAGGACGTCGATCTATGCATTATCCGAGAAAACACCGAGGGTGAATACAGCGGCTTGGAGCACCAGAGCGTACCGGGCGTCGTCGAGTCCCTCAAGATCATCACCCGAGCCAAGTCGGAGCGAATCGCCAAGTTCGCTTTCTCCTTTGCGCTAGCCAACAACCGCAAGAAGGTCACCTGTATCCACAAGGCCAACATAATGAAGTTGGCTGACGGCCTCTTCCGAAGCACCTTCCAGAAGACTGCTGCCGAATACCCTACCCTCGAGACTAACGACATGATTGTCGACAACGCCAGCATGCAGTGCGTGTCGCGACCCCAACAATTCGACGTCATGGTTATGCCCAACTTGTACGGTGGTATCCTGTCCAACATCGGCGCCGCTCTCGTCGGTGGTCCCGGTATCGTTCCCGGCTGTAACATGGGTCGCGATGTTGCCGTCTTCGAGCCTGGTTGCCGACACGTCGGTCTCGATATCAAGGGCAAGGACCAAGCCAACCCTACCGCTCTTCTTCTCTCTGCATCTATGCTGCTCCGCCACTTGGGTCTTGATGACCACGCTAACCGCATATCCAAGGCCGTTTATGGCGTGATTGCCGAAGGGTAAGTTTTTCTCAGAATAAGTCATGATTGTTAGTTCTAACTGGTTCCACAGCAAGTACCGCACCCGCGATATGGGTGGTGATTCCACCACTCACGAATTCACCCGTGCCATCCTAGATAAGATGGACACCTTGTAAACAACCCATTCCTATAACTTTACACATACACCCGAAAACTACGGCCTACTTCCTACGTGTTGCTCTGATAGATACCTAGAGGATAGGAGGAACGATAGCATGACTACATGGAGTCGCGGAGGGCGACGTTGGAGAGTCCTATATATGTACTGTACGTAGATTAGGATATGCTTTGCATCAAATAAATTTCATTGTTTTAATTCCTGTTGATCTTTCTACATTCGCACATTCAAAGACGGAATCATCCAGGCCTATCAGTAACCTTAGTAGAGTTGTGGCTGCACTCTATAGGTAGTCTGTGGCTGGGGCTAAGCCGCATCAAACTGTGGGCTTCAAATCCATAGGTAGGTACCTATTGTACCTCACACTGCCCGGGCAAGCATTGGGTATTTGTCATGTGATCTTTACAACGTCGTGTAAGTCAGAGCGATAGACGGTTCTAAAATCAACATATTTTTATTAACGTTCCGGAAACTAAACATCAGGAAATGCAGAAATTAGTATTACAGTATGGGTTTGCACGAAAACATAATAACATAAGTACCAAAGGTAGGGACGAAGAACCATTTAGTTCAACTCTCTGCTTTCGCCGAAATACACCCTCTTGGGGATTGGCTACGGAACGCAAAACAAAACACACATGCGCACTCAGCAATCGTGCTGGTGTTTCCTTAGAACAAGTCGAACATTGAAACATCAGCCACAACAGTTCCCCTTGACGTATAATACGTAATCTCCTGTGCCGAGCAATCGAGCTTTAACGCCCGGTTAGGTGGGAGTGGGAGTGGGGGTATCTTCCCCATCATCCCGGCGCGCTGCTTCGGCCGCTTCATCGCGTGCGTCAATCTCGGCTGCTATGTCTTCGTGGAGGTTATAAATATCCCGCAGGGTCCTCTCCTCGACGGGGAAGATCAAATCGTTAGAGCTGGTGTCTTGCGGATCAATGATCTCGCCCGACATGGGGCTTCGGATCTCCTCGTTGCCTTGGATGTCGATGTCGCGCAGGAGGATGCGACCCGAGGCGAAAACCTGTCGGTTCGATCCGGCTTCGATAACCATGAGCTGTAGTGGCTCGTCCTGGCGGTTGTCGCTGGGCACGGCACGACCATCTTCCTAAGTGTCTCGTCGACGTCGGTCCAGCGGCAACCCCTTGGCTTTTGCTAGCTCCTTGACAAGCTTCTCCTTGTAATCTCGTAGGAAATTCAGCGCGTGGTGCACGATGGTGAGGTTGCGTGGTGTAGATAGAACAAGGTACTTCTTGACCTTCACTCCGTCAAATTCCCATCGCAAGCCGCTCCCAACCCACTGCCCGTGTTCCTGTCGCGCAAAGTACCAGTCAGGAGGGTCGGCATCAAACCCGTTGTACGTGAGGGTGAATTGGAGGTTCCAGTTGTATCGATGCCAAGTAGCCTCGATCTTCTGTTCCAAGTAGCTCTGGGGCGTCAACAAGCCTCCCTTTTCTTGTTTGATCGGAGTCGAGCCAACTTGCTGCAGTCTTCGTCGTGTGGCCCTACTCTGGGAAGGGGGAGGAGTTGCGGGCTTCTCAATTGCTGCCTGACGAGGAGGAGCTCCAGGCGATGTATAAGTATCGGCCGGTTCATCTGGCCCTGATAGCTCCAGAGCCGTTTGGACAGCGTTCTTGCACTGTTCTAGATGTACACTCATCGCGTCAAATCGGATCAGCCATTGTTGGAGTGTTAGGCGGCGCTTTTCTAGCCATGATGCATCTCCTGTGTCTTGGTACGTCTCAAAGAGCCCCTGACAATGAGCGAGGACATCGTGGGTATGGCGGGTGTTTAGTTCTTCAATTGTGAAGAATTCGTCGTGATTGGGGACCGGTATGAGAATGCGACACCATTCTTCGCTGCGCTATTGAAGATATGTTAGTACTTTTGTTGTTCATTGTGGCTGGTTGTTAGCAAATTAACTCACTGGATGGCTTGAAGCTGCTGCTTGGGGAGGCTGGCGTGCTTGTGATGATGCCATATTGCTATTAAACCCTGGAGGCAGTTTTGGTATCGCTTAAATATATCACCTTTGGAGAGCTGGCGAGAGTAGTGCAGAAGTAGAAAGTTAAGTATGAAGTAAAGAAGCATTATTTGCTATTTGCCTGCCTAAAATACATGTATGTTCGGGGCAACCGTTTCCCACATAAGCTGTTGTATGTTACCTACCTAGGAGGTACCTATATGGTTTGCATTGCTCAGGTGCCTCTTCAACATGACAATTCACGTAATTAAAATGGGGTTATAATCCGATCTTGCATTGATATTCACCTTAAATTCCTTTTGTTAGTTTTCATATGCTAACCATGTATGTACCTATGTAGGTACTTACTTGTACTTTACTTGTATAAACATAAGCAAAAGGAAATACAATTGAAAGCATTCTTGTTATGCTTTGTGCAGGGGATTGATGATACATAAATTATAGCCGAGACTTAAGCCCTACTATATACCAGACCATATACCGGTAAAATCACCACAGTACATTTACTATATTAGTAATACCTAAGATGTAAGAAATGGAAATCAAAGATTAGCATTTGTTGTATGGTTCATTGTCAAGCGGCTCAATGTATATCACGTGACCTTTACGACGTCTTGTAAGTTGTAAGGAACGCGGAATTACAAGAATTCTTTTATTACCATTCCAATAACTAAAATCAAGGGGAAAGTTACTCTTGTCCAAGTGTGGTAAAAAAAAACCCCCAAACGCAATCTATCTCTCAACTTCCAGCTTCGAAGTTGTCTCGCAGAAAATTTCCGGTTAAACAAGACTATGCTCTTTTCCTCGACGTAGGATATGAGAAGTTGACGAAGCATGTAGAGATCTCTCAAGGTCTTTTCTTCAATTGAAAATACCATGTCGTTGTCGCCAATTCTATTAGGACGGTTTCTTGTTTTGGAAAGGGGGTATAATCTCGATAGACAATTGCCGTATTCCGAGTAGAGGAAACAGACGCTGCCGGATCTGCAACTACTTCACGATCGTGGGGATCTGGAATGATATTATTCAGCGGGGCTGCCTGTAGAGACTTTAAGGTTGCTTGAAGAGCATTCCGGCACTGTGTCTGATGTATAGCGAAGACATAAAATTGAGCAAGGCTTTTCTGGAGAGTCAATCGATATTTCTCTAGCCATGTTGCATTGCCTGTATCATCATAGGCCTGAAGAAGATTTTAGCAGTGCTCAATAATGTACTGAGTGTGTCGGCTAATAATTTCCTCGAGCATGGGAAACTCATCTTTGATCGGTGTAGGTATCAGAACCGCTGAAGCCCTTCGGTTGATTCTGTAATAATATGTTAAGTTTTATCTGCAATTGGTGGGAAAATGTTGACAAGTTTCTTACTTGGTTTCCTCCGGATCCGGAACGAGGAGGCCCCGTAGACGCCATTTTGCTAGTTTTCTTCTTCTAGATACCAATGGGATTTGCAAGAATAAACTTGGCCTTAAAACAATTAGGTAGGGTAAAAAAAGAAGTTGTGTTTTGAAGAAACCGAAATAAAACTTTAAGATCGTGACATGCGAATCCACTAAAGAGTACGTCTAGAGCAACCGTTGCTAGGGGGTTTTGAGTAGTTAGGATCTCGATACCATTGCATTTATTGGAAAGCACATTTTCCAAAGTTAAATTCAGCATGTAAGGTGATCAAACTACAAAAGAAAAACAGAACCCCTTCAAGTCAGGTGCCCATCAAAATTACTCGTACCAGAAAAATGGACTTTATTTTCCAACGCCAACCACTACGAAGCGTTACAGCGTATTTGGGGCCGTTCTTGATGCGAATTCCTAAGCAAGACTACTAAAATATAAGTATATTCATTACTTGAGGTTACGAGGAGATTGTGCAGAAATAAATCTCAAGAAAATAGTAGGATCAAAATAAGGAGGCATAGGGGCTACACAGGGGGTAGAGAGGGGGAATGATATTGTATTTCTTCTGGAGAGAAAATATTAATACCGATTTGCAAGTACATAGCATAGGTACGTTATGGGATATCTTCCATCTATTTGCTTAAGCGAAACAGTGCAGGCAAATCTTAAAGGTTTAATTACATTTAGGTAGCATATATAGGTAGATAGCAGTGCATCAATTAATCGGGATGGTGCCCCTAGGCGCCTCGGAGTCCTGGGAGTAAAAACGGGGTGGTGTAGTTGGAAGCACCGGGCTTCCCTTCCCTTTTGGAACTTACCACTTTTAGGTTTTTCGCGGAGGGGGCCTGTTCGAACCGGCGGATAACGGGCTCCAGCCGACTTTTTGCACTTTTTATCCTTTTCTCTTTTTAACTCACACACATGTCTCTAGATATTCCAAGTAAATTTACGAGTCACAGTAATCTAGAGTATAAATCAGTTGCATTTCTCAAAAGAAAATATTTTTTATTACAGATCATAAGCTACCCTCGAAATACAATAACCCGAAGCACCGTAGGACTAAAATTTCGAAACTCATTAGGTCTTCCCCTCCACATCTACGAAGTATCTTCGACACTTAGTCCATTCATCCTTCAATTTAGCCGTTGACTTGCTGTTGCGTGGAATAAAAAAAATAGAAATACTGATGTTGTATTTAGTGACATATGACTTCCTGCACTTTGGTTCCTAAGTGCAGAGTGATTTCTACACCCAAAATATCCCTTAATTCTCTCACATTCAGTCTTCAGTCAATAACCCATTTAGTGACGAGGAACGCGTGCGGTGTTTCTGCTTCTCGCTACGTTCCCGAGTCCTAAATTCCAGATATTCGTATAGGTTATTTGCTCGTATACCCCTTGCTCGTCATAAGCTTCATCTTGAAGGCTGCAACGATAGGATCTTGATTACTCTGCCTCTAAGAGCTAGTGACCCAAGGGGGGGGGGGGGGGGGGCATGGAAGAGTGCTCTTACTATCTAGTATCTAGTCTCCGCAGGAGATCTTTGCATGTTAGCAATTAGATATAGTAAAAAAAAACATAGGTTGTAGGATATCTATCTACAATATTGGCTAATGTACAAGTTTATTAACTCCTCGCCTTGCAAACTAACAGTGACAACTCCTTCATTCGTTCTGCCGGGAGGTTCTTTGAATTTCTTTGAATCCGGTATTTCTCTCCTCGAGCCACTTTCGAGTATGGTATCATTACTGCAACACTGCTTTAACATATCAAGAGATAGCAATGGCCTAGTCTCCTGGACAATCAATCATCATTCATTGTATCACTGAATGCTGCGGCCATATGGTTCAGCAATGCCGATAAACGATAAAACAAGTATGCCGACAGCCAGTTGCTGTGTTACCACCAGCTGCTGGCGCGGCCTAAGATAACTAACCTAACAATATTCCTCCTCCATTTTCATTTTCTATTGGAAATAATATCATTCTATTTGTATATGATTATGTCAGCGAAAAATAATGAAGCGATAAGCGGTTCTCAGTATATCTTCCATTCACCTTGGCCAATATATCTGGGCAGAGTCATACGAGTATTTGACCGAATAACTTGATACGTAAAATGGTCATTATCCATCCCAAATACAATTGTGTGAACCACAAGCGCAAAGCTGATTATCTGCAAACATTATTACTTACTAAAGACAAACCTAGCTGTGAAGATAGTCAGTCGTGTTCATGAAGTTTACCATAGGTACGTGGTTAAGGTGGACCATCCCAAGAGCCTTTCACACCAATCTGAAATCTTTATCACTCTATGCCTACCTACTAGAGATACATAGAATCACTAATAATACCTCAGGAATCCCAAGCTTAGGTAGATCCGTGCACAAGATTAATACCCATTACCTGACCACTCAAGTCAATCTCGGCAAGAAGGAGCTGGCGCGACTCTGTTCTCTGTCGTTCACAGTAGATTCTCAAGCAGTTTTACTGGTATTTGCATCCCATGTCCCTGGAATTAGACCTGCAGGGGCCAATAAGAATTACGACTCCTTGTTCACAAATCGAGCCTCCTGAGCGGTTATCTGAAAACCCTGTACTGTATTGCACTAGGTTCGACCAGATATTTATCTGCTTAGAGGCCTAGATACAGTATACACTGGATCGATAAAGCAAGAGGGCCGGTCTGCCAATCAACTATTAGTGTGAACAGTATGGCGTAACTATTTTACTGTAGCAAGTGCCTGGCCGTGAGTTCAGACGAGATATTTAGCACAGTAGCCAATCAGAGGAGCTGGAAATGGCTTCTCAATGACCAATTTATATCATCCGAAGCATAAGAAACATTGTCTGCTAGACATGACCTTGGTGAATATTTAGAATTGATCTGCTCGAGAAGTGACCTCCATATTACCGGCTTAGTGACTCTTACCCCTTCTTGTTCCCTCTACCACCCCATCCCCTATCACAAACCTGTCCCCTAAGAGTCTTCCAAACCTCCTCTTTCCTTTACCAGAATTAATAGAAGAAAAAAAAACAAAAAAGCCATTAGCACGTTCCGCTAGGAAAGAGCACTAGCGGATAATAAATTCCTGCTCTTCCTTGTTAATTCCATGATATGAATTGATCCTACATAGCATTAGTCTAGAGGACATCTAGAACCACAGCAGCGACCCTAACAGTCCGCGGACCACCTGTGCTCATCACCAATTTGGAACATTTGGGACCTGGTTAGGTATCATAATTATCTCGACAACTCTAGTAGCTCTTTAGCAACTGCAATTCTTATCGACAGACAGCAGACACCTTCAACAGCTGACAACCCTTAGCGGCTGAAGCTCTCAGCGGACTTCGTGCCTGCCTTATCCAGACAGTATTCCAGACAGTATCAGGTCTTTCCAGCATACCCTCTTCAAAAGAGATCCTCTAGACACGCAAAGCTCTCACATGTACACATATATCCATATACAGAGCACAAAATAGGTCGTCGCTGCTTCCGCTGCTTGTTGCAACACCAGCAGAAGATCACAAAGCTTCCGGTCGCTCTTTCGCCCGGCGGATAGCTTCTTCAGCCCTAGATCTCTAGTAAGTACGCTCCTTCCCTCGTCGCCGACCATTTCACTCAATCTCATCTCCTTGCAATTGTTCAAGACGCCAAATCTTTTCCCTTTAGCACAATACCCATTATCCATCACCCCAAGATAATCCAATCCCAGCAACAAAATACACCAAGCTTCAAGCCCATCCCCAAGGCTAGCCCAATCATCATACTCCTTTCCTTCCCCATACAATAAATACCCCCTTCCCTTCCCAATCCTGCCCATACAGTGCAACTCGCCCATAAACATCCACACTGCACCATTCACACCACAACCCCGTCGGGATAGTACCATGGCCCACCGTGCTTTCCGCAGGGGCAACTCCATCCCCTCAACATCCGTACTTATACCCTCCCCCCCAGCCCCCCTCTCTGACCAAGTCCAATCTCCAGTCTTGCCAGTCGAAACCGCCGAGATGTGCTTCGTCGAGTACGTCGGCTACACCTGCGGACACACCAGCGTCCCCGTCATGCGGCCCTGCCCCATGACCACGCAGATGCACAACAACCCCTGCTGCCCGCACCCAGCCTGCCGCCCCATGCTCCCCGCGACCATGTGTCCGGCCTGCGGCCGCATCCTCCACGGCCGCTTCATCGACATCATCGAATACGAGCACCGATTCATGCACGAGCGCGGGGCCTGCAGCTGCGACATCCGCTTTCCGCACCTGCAACAGCCGCGCATGGTCACCCGTAGCGGAAGCGGAAGCGGAAGCGGCTCCGGCTCCGGCCGCGGACCCACATTCGGCATTAGCGACAACCCGGCCCTCAGCTTCCCGGCAACCGCGCAGATGGACGGCTCCCAATTCTCCTTCTCGCCGTCCGCCGCTGCGTTCACGCCATCTGCCGATCCGAGCCCATACTCGCAGTATGCGCAGCCCTCGACCTCCAGCGCCGCTGCCAACATCGCAGCAGCAACAACTCTTCCTGCCGGCATGGCTAATGTCAGCATTAGCACGCCTTCCGACGTTCGTAGCGCCAGCCCTGAGATGCCTAGCCGGCAGCGCCACGGCAAGGGCAAGCGATGGAAGGGCAAAGGACGCGGTAGGGATCAGTCCTTCTACCAGAACAATCGCCAGCGTCGCCGCGCCTCGACCTCCGCCACGCCCCGCAACGGCCCCGGACTGCCGCCCCTGTTCGAGGAGAGGGAGCACAACTCGTCCAGACGCCTCAGCGTATCGGTCCGCATGCTGAGCCTCTACGGCGCCGAGTGGACACGTGACCATGCCGAGTTGCACCGAGCCGGCCGCTGCTCATGTGACATCACGTTTGATCGCTATACCGGCCGCTCGGAGATGCGTGAAGAGATGTCCGCTGCTGCGACTGCTGCTAGGAGCAACAACGACAGCAACAGCAACAGCAACAGCAACAGCAGCGGTAGTATGCCCGCAATCCAGTATGGCCCGAACGACGCTCGTCGATACATCAACGAAGACGAGAGCGCGAACACCTTGCCCACAAACAACTACGACGCCAACAATGGTGCCAGCACCTCCGGCTTCCAGAGCCCCGCCGCATCAAGCTTCGCGCCCAGCTTCGCGCCCAGCTTCCAGCCGCCTGTGGACCAGGCAACGCCGCCGTATCTGCACATTTCCGACACCGTTCATCAATACTGGGCTCCCCACACCACGCAATCCGCACCTGTCACTCCCGTCGCTCCCGGTCAGCCCGCCCGTTGGGCCTGTAGTCCCTATGACACGTCCGCGATGCAGGGTCAGGGACAGCAATCCCAGCAGCAGCAGCAGCAGCACGGCTACAACGCCGCCTCATCCGGACCCCCGATTTTCCATAGCGCTATCAGCCACCCCATCGACATGCAGACCATCTACTACGAACCAGAGGGCACCCCTATTCTCGGCCTACCCGTCGGCGCGGGCCCCGAAGGTGACTCTCACATGCCTCCCTTCGAGAACTGCGAGTTGTACTACCCCAAGCTTTCCCCGGAGCAGCGTCCGGCATCTCACTAAGGATACCAGAGATATCACATCTCGCACATCATCTTAACATCCGACACCACATTGTCGTGATCTGCACCTACATACGAGCTTTCGCCATTTCGGCAATATACCACCTACTTGCTGCAATGTTGCTTGACGTAGGAACGATAAACCAGTGACAAATTTTCACTGAACAGCTCGGCTACAGAAAGGAGACACGAACTGTAAGGAGAGAAGAGAGGACGATAAAACATAAAATAAGAAAAATAAATATCACGAAAATTTCGTATCCGTATTTACTAAAGCAGTGCGATACTTCAATGCTATATGCATTATGCGAGACACTTCACTAGTGACCTCGTCGACTATCGTACACGTGAACACGACGTCTATGATTTGCACTGCGAGTTGCCTTTTTTTTAGAGTTTAGTCTTCATAGGCCTATCACCTATCGACCTCGCCTATTTCATCAAAATGCGTTAGTATCTAAATTCTTCATGTTTACAGGGCATTGATTGTACTTACCGAACACCAGATCCATCGTACCGATGATCGCTACAGCATCAGCGATCAGATGCCCTCTGGCGACTTGATCGAAGCCGCCCAAGTGCGCAAAACCAGGCGCACGGATGTGGCATCGATACGGCCTCTCACTACCATCGCTCACAAGATACACACCCATCTCTCCCTTCGGCGCCTCAATGGCGGCATAAGTTTCGCCGGGAGGTACAGCGTAACCCTTGGTGTAGAGCAGGAAGTGGTGGATAAGGGCCTCCATGTTCTCCTTCATGGCTGCTCGCGGGGGTGGCGATATCTTGTAGTCCTCGACTCGGACAGGACCGGCTGGCATCTTGTTCAGACACTGGTGGATAATTCGGAGAGACTGGCGGAACTCCTCCATCCGGCACAGGTATCGGTCATAGCAGTCACCGTTAACTCCTACGGGAACAGCAAAGTCGACCTGGTCGTATGCGTCATATGGCTGACTCTTGCGCACATCCCATGGTACACCCGAACCTCGCAGCATGACGCCAGTGAAAGAAAGGCCAAGAGCCTCCTCAGCGGAAACCACACCGACACCCTTTAATCTTTGGATCCAGATTCGGTTGTCTGTCAGCATTTCCTCAGTCTCATCGACTCGGTCACCAAATTGCGTTGCCCATTGGTAGATGTCGTCTAGAAGGCCGACGGGGATATCCTGGTGAACACCGCCGGGTCTGACATATGCAGCGTGCATACGGGCTCCAGATACACGTTCGTAGAATTCCTATAAGAGATTTCCATTAGTTTTTAAACTTTCATATTTGCGTTGTATTACTTAGATGATAAATGGTAGAATAAACTTACCATCAGCTTCTCTCGTTCCTCAAACCCCCATAAGAAAGGTGTTAAAGCACCCACGTCCATGGCGTGCGATAGAACGGACATAAGATGGTTTAGAACCCTCGTAATTTCTCCAAACAAGGTTCGAATGAACTTGGCTCGCTCCGGGATTTCTATGTTTAGTAACTTCTCGACGGCGAGGGTGAAGCATTGCTCGTTGGTCATCATAGAGACGTAATCTAACCGGTCGAAGTACGGTAAGGCCTGTAGGTAGGTCTTGTACTCGATCAACTTCTCCGTTCCTCTGTGAAGCAGTCCGACGTGGGGGTCGGATCGAATAATCTCCTCTCCGTTCAGCTCTAGAATTAACCGAAGCACACCGTGAGCAGCAGGATGCTGAGGACCGAAGTTGACTGTGTAGTGACGGACCTTTCGGTCGGTTATGCTTCCTTCGCGGGAGGCCTCGACGGAGCCATCCTGGTTCTGAAGGCGCTGTACGCCATAGGGATCCGAGGGGTGGGCGAAATCGGGATCGACGGGTTGAAGGGTGGTGCGCTGGTTAGGCAACTCTTTGGCCTTGCGCAGGGAAGTCTGCGATAAGGCGCGTATTGCTGGCTTTATTGTCGGCTTCGCAAGCTGCAGACTTCTGGCGCCGCAGCCGACAATGCGATATAGCGACGCCATCTGCGTTATGTGATGGCCAATTGGTTGGTATATTGGGGGATTTGATAAGGACCTTTACTTAGCGACAATTCTCGGAAGTTGAGGTCAATACTTAGGTACAATTAATCGGTTTAATGTCCTCGGTTTAATGTCCTCGTCATTGGATCGCCCTATCATTTATCCGCCCCACTACATGTACTCGTGTATTACCTACGATAAGGTTCCAAGGTAGGTACGGATTAATGTTAGGTACATAACATTACGTCAGATGGTTTCGTTTTTACGTTCTTACGTTTTTACCAGTTTGATCTAACGTTATTAACGGATATCTTTACATCAGCCAGTACCGTAACAGCTCCTATATTCTTTCTACTTTCACGTCGATAACCAGAGCCTTCATCTACGATCAACGAAACACATGCACCACAACACGAGGAAGAAATAAGGAAGCCTCTATCACGATAATTCATTGATATTGATATATTGTATATTTGCGTGTAGCTCCATGGCTAGGACCTCGTCTATGTAAATTAGTTGGTCAACGACTCGATCGGTTTACCCTCACAATAAACCCTCACAATAAACCCTCACAAGTTCCTAAGAAAAAAAAATCTAAGTGGCATGAAATATTATCACGAGAAGAATCTGTTGCTTTCCACCCATCTAGGCATAAAAGCATAGGAAATTAGGTCCCCTTAGGAAGGCTGTCGAAGTACGTCTTCCTCGCCGCTTCGATGAGCTTGCTAACCTCATCTGCGGGAATCTTCTCCCTCCTGTCGAATGAGTATAAGCCGTTGACTTCCTGCTCGACGTCGGACCTAAACCAGTCAGTTATTAGAAATCCTCACCTTCATCTGGGATTGCTCTTCCGTCCATGGGTTTGTAGCAACGACTTACAGCTGAGTATACACAAATCCACAAACATGTCCCCCCTGAACAACTGCCTGTATCAAAGCCTCGAGACGCTTTAGTAAATCCTTCGGATCGCTCGCAGTCGTGTAACCCCAGTCCCTATCTCCGCTCTCTGCTCCCTTCCCGGGCGCAATGTTGACGCCGCCGAACTCGGTACATATGACAGGAGCACCCTCCCTATGCTTGGTCCCGCTGTCGGTTCTCCCGTCTTTGAGTGTTAGTGGTCCGACAAAAAAGTCGCGGTCGGCAAGCTTCTTGCCTAGAATGCCTTCTAGAGTGCTACACGTCTCAGCTAGGGCTGGGGCGTCTGAGTAGTCGTGGAATGTGCTTAGATCTGTGATGACGTGTTCCCAGCCGCAGTTGTCGTTGACGGGGCGCGTTGGGTCGAGCGTCCTACGATTTGTCAGTATTTGAATATGAATTACCTGAATCCGGCTTGATTCTTACTTTGTGATATAGTAGAGTGACCGAATATGATTCCGCTGATCTATGTTGTCCTTCAAGTTGGGATAGGCCCAGCTTTCCTGTTACAAGTCAATATCTCATCCGAAATGCTTCTAATCTGACGATTACACATCCGCTCTGACCCCAATAGAACAGAGAAATAGTGAGTATGCACATGTAAGAGATATAGCAACATACTGCGCAAGTGTTAGCTCATATTTATATGGTGAAACCACTCAATGTAGACCTGATATAGGCGTAAGACTCATTTCATACATACCATTAACAGGAGTCCAAGTCACAATCGAGGGGTGGTTAATATCCCTCTTCACAGCCTCTACCCATTCTTGACTAAATCTCTCGGCGTAGTCTTGGTTGAACTCGTACGCGTTTGCCATCTCACCCCAGACGAGGAATCCCAACCTATCAGCCCAGTACAGGAAGACCGGATCCTCGACCTTCTGGTGCTTTCGGCACCCGTTAAAGCCCATCTTCTTCGTCAGCTCGATATCCAACCGTAAACTATCTGGTGACGGCGGCGTGAGACCCGTCTCGGGCCAGTATCCTTGGTCGAGGGTTAACGCTTGGAAGAGTGGCTTGTCGTTCAACCTGAGGGTTCTGTCGCCTCGGTTCCAGTCGATACTTCGAAATCCAGTGTACGTCTTGACTTGATCGATAAGCTTGTCCTCCGAGTCGTATAACCGAATAGATAGATCGTACAGAGTTGGGTGGTCCGGCGACCACAGAGCTAAGGTGCCGCGCCAGGAGTGGCTATCATAGTAGGGGGCGTCCTGGGCAAGGGTCGGCGGTGCGTTTGACTTCTGATCGTCGCTTAGAGATAAGCCGAGGTTAATAGAAACATAGTCCTTGTCGCCAGGTAGGTTTTCTTTCGTCTTGGCCACGCTGACACTGTAAAGATAGCCCTCGATCTCAACGCTATACCCATGACCAGCTCTTCGTCCCAGAACGGCCACTGTAGCTTCTAGCAAGCCTTCAGAAATATTGTTAGATCTTAATATTGTGCCCGCCCTACTGTCGCCAATCCGCGTCGGTGGTAAAACTTCCAACCAAACCGGTTGCCATATCCCACTAGTGGGCTTGTAGAAAATAGACTCTGGCTTTGGCGCCCAATATTGCTTACCTAGGTACCTAATATTAGCGTTTTGATAGCAGAACCTCAAAGGCCGAGAAGGATATATTTCTATCTTCTGACCAAAATGTTCTTATACATACCACGAGGCTGAGCAAGGTCATGCGGGGAGTCACGAATGCGCAAGGTGAGGTCCAATTCCCCCTTGCCGGTATTCTTCCAGGCATTTGCCAGAGCATCAGTGATGTCCACGTCAAAAGGCACGTGTCCGCCTCGATGCTGGCCCACGGGATATCCCGAAGCCCAGATCGTTACGTCGTAATCCACAGCGCCAAAGCGAGCCAGGACTCTATCCCCAGCTTCTATCTCGGCCTCTTCGCGCGGATCAACGACTTTATTCTCGTACCATAAAACCTCGTGAGCGTCGTTATCAAAGACGCCGGACGCGGGTGTCTGAAAGGCAAAGGGTACATTAATGGGCTTTTTAACATGCTCACGAGTCTGGCTCTTCGGGGCCTGAAATCCTCTCTCCTTGAGTTCGGGGAATGCAGCTAGCTTTTGAGCTTCAGCTTCGCTGATTGAGTTAGTAGAAGACGTGACAGACACTTTTTCTGGAACACCATTGATCTGCCATGCCTCCTTCAACCCAACATCGTCGTCGTCGAAGAGTATCGACCAACCCTCATTAAGGGGTGTCCATCTGTGATTGCCGTGAACGAAATCGGGTCGGGGATAAAAGTCTTTCGAGTTGTAAGCCATTTTCTGCAGGCACGGATTACTCTGTATCTAGTTAAGGGAATCAAACGAGGGAATACTC